TTCCCCCTCTGTGCTGACGTCATTTGTGAAAGGTCCCTAACGTAATATTCTTCACAAGAAAATAACAAATCAATGTGGTGTCAACAAGTGAGAAAGAGATGAAGTGAAGCGGAAGTGAAAATAAACTTTCTAAAAGTAAAGAGGTTCGGTTTCCTTTTTGTCCTTTTTTATACCCCGTTTCTTTTCGTTTTTTTATTCTCCGATTTTTTATGGTTTTTTTGTTGGAAAAATGTCAAAAATCGTAGCCCGCAATTCGCGGCCGCGACAAACGCAGATGCCTAATTTGTCTGTTTTCGTGAAATTGTCCAATTGCATTAAGGTTGGTATAAATCAAATGAATTTGTATAGTCTTGGTTCTTGCTTTGTTATTCTTTTGACTCCCAAAAAAAACCCCGTTATTATTCCCAACAGATACTTGCAATGATCTTCTTTGCTGACTTTAAAATACTGAGATACAGTAAATCAGTGCTCCTGCCTCTTGAATGATCTAACAATTTCTTTGGGGTGTTGGACCCATACCATAACCACACCACGACGATAAATATGTAACCACTAAAACGTTATAATATTAATGAAATTCGGTACAATGCAACCTTTTACTTCAATGCTCTTTTTCTATGGCACTTCTTTGTGGGATTCTGTTTAACTGTCATCATCATCATCATCATCATCATCATCATCATCATCATTGTTTGGAAAGCAGAGTAGGAGGGAAAGTCTTGTTTGAATTTCAGACAAAATACAGTAGGAGGGAGAGTCTTGTATAAATCATTATCATCATCATCATCATCATCATCATCATCATCATCATCATCATCATCATAACCATCATAACCATCATCATCATCCTCATCATCCTCCTCATCATCATCATCGTCATCAAGTGTCCGGATTGAAACATAGGCTAACATTGGCGATCATGGTTCGCCGTTATCCCCCCCCCCCCCCCCAACCCCTTCGGGTGTTCTTACAAAATCTACCATTATTCTGGTCACCCATCTGTTTGATACCTGCTTTGTTTGCCATCGATATAATAATGTAGAGAATCTCTCTCTCTCTCTCTCTCTCTCTCTCTCTCTCTTTTCTCTCTCTCTCTCATACACACACTCTCTCTCTCTCACACACACACACACTCTCTCTCTCTGTCTCTCTATCTTTCTCTCTATCTCTCTCTCTCTCTCTCTCTCTCTCAATATATATATATATATATATATATATTTTTATATATATATATATATATATATATATATAATATATATATGTATGTGTGTGTGTGTGTGTGTGTGTGTGTGTGTGTGTGTGTGTGTGTGTGTGTGTGTGTGTGTGTACACATATTAAAATGTATTATTAGTAAAAGCGTCCCCCCGTTTGGTCGTTAAACCAAGACACCTAATTCTTGTATATCCTACGCAGCGAGTGGGTTTGAACAGCTACCTCATTTTCACTTGGAAGGACGAGAAGCTCCAGTGGAACCCGGCTGACTACGGGGGGCAAACTGAGATCACCGTCATGTCTAGCAGGTCAGGACTGTGCGGAGAGGAATGCTGTTTCTTTCTGAACTAGTAGGGCCTACTAGTTGTGTCTGCTTTTTAAAAAAAGAATTAAAAAGAAGGTGGCTGTGCAAAGTCCCTTTCAACACAATTTAGACATGAATCTCTGATAGGACCGAGCCAAATAGGTTGAGAGCCCTGAAAACACCACAAAAGATCTCAACATGATTGAAGAAGCCTTTAGATCCTATCTATCTATCTATCTATCTATCTATCTATCTATCTGTCTGTCTGTCTGTCTGTCTGTCTGTCTGTGTGCCTACCCACCTATCTGTCAGTCTGTCTATCTATCTACCTATCTATCTATCTATCTATCTATCTATCTATCTATCTATCTATCTATCTATCTATTTATCTATCTATCTATCTATCTGTCTATCTGATCGGTCACTGTAACTTCCACATTGATGTCTACCATGTATACAATCTCATTAGTGGGTCCCAAAGTCTAGGAATAAAGTTCTATATTATATATATGCCCTCGGAAAAAAGTAATTGTCCTTAGATTTCAGGTCTAATTTTGAAAAGGTTATAATCGTGCTACATTAATAATCCTGGTAATTTTTTTTTTAGCTTATTCAAAGATGAAAAACAATATAAGACTAGTTTTTGAACAAAACGTCAATTTTTACAAAAACAACTCACGATAAGAAGACCAACTCCTTAAACAGCAAAACACGATTTGATGAAAATTGCATGTATTGCTTAAGAGCATGATTTCAATAACGAGTATGCCCGCATTGTGCAGCAATAATAACCTAGCATCTCCGTCTCATTGAGCTACATGTATTCGTTGAATCTTGATTTGAGGCATGTTGGTCCTCTCCTCCTGCAAACCTTGCGCCAATTCATGAAGTTAATCTAATAGGCCTGTTATTGCTGTGACATCATGGATTTTAGGCAAACATTCCACTCATAAAACAGCTGCGAAAAGATACGTCTCTTGGCTGCGAAAAGAGATGACGAC